ACGTCACAACGCCAGTAGGAGGGCCCTGATCCACGTATTCCTCCCATGGTTAAGTTATTTGGGTCCAAGTGCTGTTATCAAACATTCTAAATGATTTCGGGACTAGTAATGCCGAGGTTCGAGGCCTTAACTCCCAGAATAACTAGACTTGAGACCGTGCACAATAATTGACGCCTTTTGGGCCAACAAAAATTACATGGTGCAGAAGGACCATAATTGAGTAGAAGGACCTATGCATACATCATCAATGTTCTGATTCATTTACAATAACTCAGCGTCACCTACAATTAATCAAGAACCTCATATTAGTTTCACTTTGCACCGAACTGAAAAACAGAAGACATCTTAGTTGTTGAATGGGGCTTGGAATTTGAAACTGGCGCTCCGTTATGCAGCATTGAAAATAAACAACTTTCTGTTTGACATTTTTTGTGAATCAAGCCCTTCATATGTGTAATTTTAAGGCAATTAATAAAGTTACAGAATGATTTGCGGAATGTGGAAGAATTTATTTAGCGGTAAGGAATCTATTAATAGTTGGCCATCCAATATCACATGACGGAGTAAAGTGCCGCCATGTCGTCGATTTTCGTAGGTTTGACACAACTATGTGCTCTTAGTTGCTTTTGAAATGCGCAAATAGGCTGCATCAGCCTTCATTTTGGACGGCAACATGGAGAGGTCTAAAGAATGCTGACTATATCAGTACTTGTGAGTGAGCCCAGCCTCCGTAAATTTCCAACTGGTGTGATAAAGCGATGGAAAGGAGGAAGGCGAGGGCGATACGCTTGTGTGCGCTCATCTTGTGGCAGACCGATTAATGGACTAAGGCTTAAAAGCAGAGCAAGTTTAGTTTTTGCTAATCCTAGCAGTTATACCTATTATTCTCCAGCTTTGCCCTTTAGGAGATGATGAGAATACAGAATGCCTAGAAGCCAAACAAAGCTAACGGAAGTCCCCTGAAGAAACGGAGCGGCAAATTGAGGATTTACAGTCATCCCTAACAATCCTAGACCGAAACGATTTGGCGAGAAATCAAGGCGTTGAATAAACCTACATTGGCCTGTTTAAATGACGTTAAATTCATCTAGCTTGGAAAGAAGAGAATGCGGACAGCATCCAAGTCCTGAAACTTTTTCTTCCGACAGCGTTAGGAACAGAAAGAGTCTAACGGATTGCAGAAAGCATCATTAAAATGTACTGATGGAGTGGTAATCTTATTTAAATATATAAGTCTATTTTTTTCCTTTATAGATCGAAAATAACTTATGAGTTTCCGTCAAGTTAAATCCATATAAATATTGTATGAACGCTTTTTGACATACTTCTTTACTGTCCATGAAAAGAAAACATTGTTTCCGACTGTGGTTCTAAATATTTCCGCGATGGACGACCGCGTTTACTACGGCAATGAGCCTTAATAAATGCATGAAGGAACCGAGAGCTTTCGTATGTAAAAAATGCAATGTAATGTAACTTGTGACTCAAAAAACAGCTTCTCACGATCATGCTTAGAATTTGAAGTTGCAGCGACTAGTCACAACAGGTAAGAATCAATTTACACCGGCTAAAAATTTTAATAAAGTTGGTTGGCAAATGTTAAACTTTCAGTAAGCATAACTACTGTGAGCATTTTATCATGCAGGCTAACGCGAAAGTTGACAACGCCTGAAGGGTCATGATTTCAGTTGACCATGCCACTTCGATTTCCCTGCGTAAGCTTTCCACAACCAACAAGGCAATTCCTTAAGCGCTGGTGAACACACGCCATTCCTTCGCGGGTCACATGACATTCGTCCTGTTTGCACACTAGGAGGCTGCATCGCATGCGTCCACTTACAACTGCACTGGGAATACATCAAAAAACCATTCTTGTAGTCAAGGTCCTTTAAATAATCACAATACCAAATATTTTCTTAAGCATTAATATTTAAATTTTTGCAGCGTACACTCAAACCCAGTGGAAAATAAGGCATTAGTGATCGCTATTTTACAAGCAGTTTGACATAAGAAAGACAAAAGGCGGAATGTCATGGCAGCAGAAGTGGTGAAACAGGGCTCTTCCTTTAATGATGATGATGGAAGCGGAGAAAACAAAGCTAATAATTAAATCTTGATTTAAGAAAAGAAAAAATAGCCGCAATTAGAAGAACTGATGTTGCAGCAGCGCCCATTTTTCTCCAAGTGAGGCTCTTTTTACATGGTTCCTCCATCGAAGTCCTAAATTCTTCGTAAATTCTTGAGTCCACTAAATATAAAGAAAAAGGGAACTTGTTTCTCCCTTCACACAAACCTATCTTGCTAGCATTTCGTTTGTTAAACTTGTTTTGATGGCATTTAAATTGCATTTTAAAGCCATGAAATTATATGAATTGAGCAAAACGTGCCAAATTCAACATCGTTTGCACCCAGTGGAGTGACCGCTTTGAGCTTAGTAACTTTTTTATCCATGCGATGAAAGCCCACTTTGTTAGACATCCGGCTAAGTAGTGAAGTTTACAGAGGTAAATGGCTAATCTGCGTCTTTAGGCGACCGTGTGGCACTTTCACGGGACCTGTTGTCTAAGCTTAGTTGCGAGCTCTTCAGGTATGTAGTCAGCGATTGTATCGTTCAATACGCATTTTCTCATGCACCACTTGGACAAACTTACCACCTCCGCCTAGTACAATAAACAAAATTATAGTCAAAACAAAATAGTATCTTACTTTCACATTCGCATTGCGAACCGTCCTCTGTATTCACAACAGAAGAGTGATAATCCCCTACAACATCAGAATTTCAATGATACCGGTTTTGAAAGAAAGGAAATAAGATAAATGCTTTAGCGCATCGTGCACTTTCACGGCGGCATTCAATACAAGCCAAGATTCAGTTTCGCCTGGATGCGACGCTTAGTTCTGTGCAGCCAAGCATGTATTCAATTTCAAGTGAACTAAGATATCTTTAGCATAAAAGAGCTTAAGTATTCAAGTCTTATGAAAGTGGGCTTAGATAGGATCTTATAATGTTTGATGCACCCTAAAAAATAATTTAAGATGAATAATAGGCATTACAGTGCAGTAATGAGCGCTTGCGAAGGGTATAAGAGGAGTGAACTTTGCAGTTAAATTTACCTCTGCTTTTGAATCCGCTTTCAGAAGAGGCTTCAGTTTGGTTTTCTAATGATATTTCTAGAAGTATAAAAAAACCCCCAGTGAAGACTTTCAAAAACTTGTCTTTACGACATCCCGGTTTGACACCCTCAAAACATCCAACTAAAACTTTCTTGAGAAGAGTGCCACAACACAAACACTTTTATAAAGCAATGGAGAGTTAATAACAATGCCTACTGATTCAAGTGGAATCACTGTGGTGGTTTATTGCGTAGAATAAAAAATGCTACCTTCACCAAAGACCCTCCTGTGATAACAAACCTGTGACGTGAAGATCTTGGACGCTAATTTTTTCGTCATCTTCTTTGTCTAGCCTTTCTAAAACAATGAAGTATTTTTCGAGAAAAGCTAGATTTTCACAAAACAATTTAGCAGATTTTGCTATAATTCTTAAGACTTACCCTAGCACACTTTAAATATGGGAAATAATTGTGGCGCACTGATCAAAGGCAAGTTTATAGAAATGCATCTCACGTTTACTAACCCGTGCTTTGAGAAAGTGGCTGATCGACCTGCTCGTCACATTCGACTTCCAACTTTACTGAAGTGACAAAGTAAGAATAGAGAGGAGTGATGTTTAGTAATGCTTGATAGCGATTTTCCCTTACGTTATCACCAAAGAAACACACCTTCAATGTCACTATGTGAAAATGCAGTTTGTTCATCACTGACGTTGGCTACAATAGAATGAGGCAAATAAGAAAACGGGGATAATAATTCCACTTTCATAAAAACTTTTCTACGAGTTACTAACTTAAACGTAGTTATTTTGCCGTCGCGGGTTTCGTGTTAACACGGCGTCAACTTGGCAGTCGAAGAGAATGTTCCATAGCAAATGCATTACAGTTGTGCTCCTTCATTTAGAGTGGCATATTTGTGGCATTTTGAATAGAAAATTGGATTATCAGTCGATTTTGCAAAAGATTTGGTTTATAAAGTTTTAAATAATCCTCACCAATGCAGGGATAAATTGTCTGGATCAGCTAATGTATATTTTGTAGATGGCTACACGGAATTATTGTCTTGCAGAGCCAGTTTGTGTTTTGGAGGTCGGTGCCCTTAAAAATGCTCGATCACCATAGATTCTCAGTTCTCCGCATATTTGCGCGGTGAGATTACCATTTAAAACAATCATGTTAGGAATAGCAATCCCCTTTAAGCTTCAATAGTTTGCAGGGCTGAGGATCCGAAATCCCACATTTCTTTATACGATAGATTCCGAATTGGTAGAAGAGTACTATGAATTGTTTGTAGTCATTTGCGATCCATGGACTAAACAATCGCATTGACCTACAGATCCACGCCGATGGCTTAAAATGATAGACCACTGCAAGACCGAATGAGACCACTCTGTTTCTGTTACATCTCGATGCAATGCGTCTACCCAACCTCTGCAAACTTGCAAGAGGCGTTCGACAGGTGCACATCCAACCATCCCCAAGCCGCCTCGGTACATCCAACCACCACGTCATAATCCACCGACGCAAACTGAAGGATGGCACCAGAGCATGATGGATTTGCGTACTCATTGGAGCACGGTGTCAAAGTCGTAGAAGATAGCCTCCCACCGGTTCGGATACTCAGCACTTAGCGAAGGTGCAGCGTGCCACAGCAAAACTACCGACTGGAGCAAGATCGCTTGGCATTAGTGTGGAAGGTGTGGCAGTCT